GTCCGTTGGTCCATCAGAAATGTCCTGGAAGACTTGAGGGACGACGAGCTCCGAAAATTCAAGGCGAATCTCCACGAGTACCAAGTCAAGCCGGGCTATTTCAATATCCCCCGAGGGCAGCTGCAGAAGACGGATGCGCTGGATCTGAGTGACCTCCTGGTCAATTACTACGACGAGGACTATGCCGTGGAGGTGGCCGCCGCAGTCTTGATGGCCAGCAACTGCAATCCTCAAGCTCAGAGGCTTCTCTGGCCCGCCTAGAAAAAAGTAGCTAGCGCATGGGATGGGGAGTTTCAGCCACGAAAGGGAGATGGGATAGCAATAGCAATGGCACTTAGACTTAGTATATACCGCTTCACCATACTTTACAACCCTCTCTAAGCGGTTTACAGAGTCGGCATATTGTCTCCAACAATCTGGGTTCTCATTTTACCCACCTGGGAAGGATGGAAGGCTGAGTCAACCTTGAGCCTGGTGAGATTTGAACTGCCAATTTGCAGTCAGCAGAAGTAGCCTGCAATACTGCATTCTAACCATTGTGCCATCATGGCTCCACAGATGGGGCTCTTAGGGGTGGCAGGCAAGTGTACACGCACACATCCACCCTTGCCCAAGCAGTGGGCGAGCACGTGTGCTGGTGCTCCATTTGTGCAAGCAACATGCATTGTGCTCCATTTACACAAGTGGTGGGCTCACACGCTCCATTGGCATGAGCGACATACATGTGTGCCATTGCAGGCTTGCCTGCTGCTCGTGTGGAACTATCCCCCCTCCCCCATGGGCCACAAAGCCAGAAGGTTTGGGGAACTCTGCTTTAATTGGTTCAAAATGCAGTGGCCTGTATGGTTTTTTGTAGATCCAGGTGTGCCCATGTCACCACTCCTACTAGAGTTGCACTGGCTGCCAATCTGCTTCCAGGTACAATTCGAGGTGCTGGTTGTCACCTTTAAAGAGCCGTGGTGGCTCAGTTATTAGAAGGCAATACTGCAGGGCTAACTCACTGCTCACTGCAGGAGTTCGATTCTAACCAGCTCAGGGTTGGCTCAGCCTTCCACCCTTCCGAGGTCGGTGAAATGAGGAACTTGGATTGTTGGGGGAAATACGCTGATTCTGTAAACTCTTTAGAGAGGGCTGGAAAGCACTGTGAAGCGTTATATAAGTCTAAGTGCTATTGCTAGGGCTAACTCTGCCCACTCTCAGGAGTTCGATCCTGACTGGCTGAAGGTTGATTCAGCCTTCCATCCTTCCGAGGCTGGTAAAATGAGGACCCAATAGGATGACTCTGTAAACTGCTTAGAGAAGACTGTAAAGTGGTATATAAGTGCTATTGCTATTGCTAAAACCCTACAAGACTTAAGGCCAGGTTACCTGAAGGACCGTCTCTTCCCAGTTACATTTACTTGGCCAACCAGGCAGGGAGGCAGGGAATGTTGCAGGTCCGTCTCCTAAGAAGATACATCTGGTAGGACCCAGAAGAAGGGCCTTCTCCATGGTGGCTCCTTCCCTTTGGAACATCATCCCTGCGGAGATTATATTGGCCCCCACTTTGACACTGTTTTCACAAAGCCCTGAAGACCTGGTTTGGCCAACAGGCCTGGGGAAACCAGAATGGGATGAAGGCCATCAGGTGGCTTGTTTGACTGATTGTGGTCGCCAGCAGGGTGGAATCTTATTGTTCTTGCTTCTTTGTAGACAAGTAGTCCTCAAAGTACGACCACAATTGAGGCCAAAATTTTTGCTGCTAAATGAAACATTTGCTAAGTGAATTTTGCCCCATTTTACGACCTTTCTTGCCACCGTTGTTAAGTGAATCACTTCAGCTGATAAGTGAGTCACACGGTTGTTAAGTGAATCTGGCTTCCTCGTTGACTTTGCTTGTGTTAAGGGCACAAAAGGGGATCCCATGACCCCAGGATACGTCAACCATCGTAAATATGATCCACTTGCCAAGTATCTGAATTTTGATTTTGTGATCATGGGGATATGGCAACAGTTCTAAATGTGAAAAACGGTCAGGAGTCACTTTTTTCAGTGCCATTGTAATTTCAAATAGTCACTGCCTTGACTTTTGTAAGTTGAGGACTACCTACTGAATCCGTTGTTCTGCTGGACGTAAAATATTTGTGCTTTTTTCCTTTAGGACCCAAGAATGAAGTATAAATCATCCAGAGTCCTGGGGTGGCTGTAATAGATATATAGTAAACATGATTTAAAGAAATTCTACTCAACATCAGCCTTCTTCCATCAATTAGAGCCTTTGACTTCGACTACTGGTACATAACTGTTTCCAAGACCTTCATTCATGTTCCATTAATTGAATATCGCATCAAAAGCTGACCACCAAGATGTCCACAATTTCTAACACTTTGAAGATCCTCTGCTTCAAGCAATTCAATCTGGATGGATCCGAAGCCGCCTTCAAGTTCTACCACGGCAGAAGTTCAAGTTGGTCAAGTTTGGGGTAGTTTGAATCAGTTTCATGGCCTTTGAATCTTTAAACACAGGGAAAATATTGCCATTTTGTTCTATCTCACAACTGAGAGATGAACCATCTTAAAAAAGGAAGTAATGATTATGATTATGTGCCATCCAGTTGTTAGCCTTAATTAATGATCACACAGATCTTCGCCATCACGGACCTAGGCTATTAACCTGTTTACAAACTATTAAGAGCTTTTATAAGTCATGAATTTGTTTTAGTCAGAACTACCTATTTTAATCACTCTGTCTATGCTTTTCTGGGATCATTCAATTCCCCAGTTAGCTAACACTACCTTGGCACTTATCAGAAGAAGCTAAAGAGGTTAATCACAAACATTTCAGTTATAGGCAGTGTTTTTGTTTTTTTTTAAATTTGATTTATATGCCTCCCTTCTCCGGAGACTCAGGGCGGCTTACAATGTGTTGAGCAATAGCCTTCATCCTTTTGTATATTTTTATACAAAGTCAGCTTATTGCCCCCACAAACTGGGTCCTCATTTAACCTACCTTAGAAAGGATGGAAGGCTGAGTCAACCTTGAGCCTTGGAGAGATTCGAACCTGCAGAAATTGCAGGCAGCTGTGTTAATTACAGGGTGCACTAAACCACTGTACTACCAAGTGTTAGTCCAGGTGTCCCATTCTGAGTATAAATACAGGTAGTCCTCAACTTATAACCATTTGTTTAGTGGCCGTTCAAGGTTGCAATGGCACTGAAAAAAGTGACTCATGACTGTTTTTCACACTTAAGACTTTTGCAGCATCCCTGTGGTCACATGATTAAAATCCAGAAGCTTGGCAACTGGCATGTACTTATGACAGTTGCCATGTCCCGGGGATGTGTGTATGTCATGTGATCCGTTTTTGCAACTTTCTGACAAGCAAAATCAATGAGGAAGCTAGATTTACTTAACAGCCATGTTACTAACTTAACAGCAGCAGTGATTCACTTAACAACAACTGCCTTGCTTAGAAATTGAGATTTTCGTCTCAATAGTGGTCATAAGTCGAGGGCTACCTGTATGCTAAGTAGTACATAAATGGGACCATTACTGGAACAAGGAAAGGTAACACAATATTTTGCTGAAGCCATGGCCATTAAGTCTGGGCAAAGGTCCATAGGTAAAAGATTCATCATTATGATGTTAAATAAGAACATCCAGAGGTGGAGAGTTTATCAAATTAAATGCACCCCGATGCTTATTATGGGATGTTGGAATTAAGCGCAACCTCCCCATGCCTATTAAGGGATGTTAGCTGTAGAAGTCTTCAATAAATCAGGAACGAGTGATGAAATATCAGAAATTTCTTTGTGTTTATCTGTGGTTTTATGGTATAAACACAACTTGTTGAATGTCAGCAGTCATTCTTGATTTGCACCTGGATCCCAAGCATCCATCTTTACCTCTGCGCAGAAATAAATTATTAAACGGCTTTTCCTCTCAGTGTGATTATTGCCTGAAATTGTGCTGGATAAAATGAACACAGTGTTGGACTGGGCTGAAACAAACAAACCGAATTTATCTGTTAGCATTTATAGATCGACCCAATTTGCATTGCTCTGTTGTAGCCCCACACATCTGAAGATGCCATGCAATGCCAAACAGTGTACTAGAAATAAACTGTTAAACTCAAGTTTTGTCTCTCAGTGTGATTATTGCCTGAAATTGTGCTGGATAAAATGACCACAGTGTTGGACTGGGCTGAAACAAACAAACTGAATTTGTTTGTTAGCATTAGGAGCCGTGATGATGTAGTAGTTAGAATGCAGTATTGCAAGCTAATTCTGCCAGCAGTTCGATTCTCACTGGCTCAAGATTGACTCAGCCTTCCATCCTTCCAAGGTCGGTAAAATGAGAACCCAGATTGTTGGGGAAAATATGCTGACTCTGTAAGCTGTTTAGAAAGGGCTGTAAAGCCCTGTGAAGCAGTATATAAGTCTAAGTGATATTGCTATTTATAGATAGATCCAATTTGCATTCCAGGTAGTTTTCAGCTTATGACCACAATTGTGCCTAGAATTTATGTTGCTAAGTGAGAAATTTGTTAAGTTTCGCCCCATTTTACAACCTTTCTTGCCACATTCCAATATCTCAGGGGCTGCCACAAAGAAGAAGGGGCCAGGCAAGTGGTGGGATTCAGCCAGTTCACACCACTTTGGGAGAACCGGTTGTTAGCTTTCTGAGCAGCTTGGTCATAAGTATAAAAAATTGGTTGTAAGTCTCTTTTTTTCTGTTGCCTTTGTAACTTTGAACGGTCACTAAATGAAGTGTTGTAAGTTGAGGACTACCTGTACTCTGTTATAGCTCCACACATCAGAAGATGCAATGCGGTGTCAAACAGAGGTACCCAATGTTAATTACATTATGCTCCTCTCAGTCCCTGAAACAACAATTCAGGCGTTGCGCAAATTGCACGTCTGAAAGTCCTTACTTCTACCAGATCCTCCGGAAATCTCCAGATTCTCTGCAGCAACATACAGATCAAGCCCGGAAGGGGAAACAAAGGGCCCAAAAGCGAAAGTTACGGCGATCGAGCTCCCGAGCCCTCCCACTTGCGAGCCTTTTCGGCTTCGCGCCTTTTTCTTTTTCTTCCGAAATTGCGCCTTCCGTTTTCGCGGAAGAAAAAGGAGAAGAAGGAGCGCGATGGCCACTTCTGCCTGGCAGAAGAGCGTCCGCTTCTGCCTGGCAGAAGCCCTGGAGAACCTGACCGAGGAAGAGCTGAAAAAGTTCAAGGCGAACCTCAACGAGTTCCCGGTCAAGGAAGACTTCAGAAACATCCCCCGAGGAACCCTGCAGAAGGCGGGCGCGCTCGAACTCAGCGACCTCCTGGTCAATTACTACTGCGAGGACTACGCCGTGGAAGTGGCCGCCAGGGTGCTCTCGGACAGCAACTGCAGACCCCAAGCTCAGAAGCTTCGCAGGGACACCGGGAAAGGTAGCCCGTGAGATGAAGGGCTGTTTCAGCCGCGGTAGGAAAGCTGCATCTGGGTCTTTCTCTAACCTACCAAGCCCCAGATGGCTCGGACTTTAGTTCCCAAGCCCTCGCCTAGAAGATCTTGGGGGGAATCGGGTGCAACTGACCCAACCAATTATGGGACCAAAAAACTTTTCAGTTTCCACAGAGAAATTCTTTGCTGGGATTCCGATTTCTCTTTCCAAAAGTTGGCTATGAAATAGATCTCTACCCCCTTTTCTCATATTTTGTATTTTATATATAATATATTTTATATTATAAAATATTTTATAATTTCTATGGAAACCAAACCCAGTTTTATACCCCGGTTGGTCAGTACATGCCAATTATGCAGGCACAATTATTTAACATTTGTCTAATGCGTCTCAATGTTTTATATATTCATTCAAACACACACACATACATACACACATACATACACACACATGTATATATGTGTGTGTGTGTGTGTTTGTATGATTATATGTATGTACACATATATATACATATACATAGGCACCAGGGTGAATAAAAATCAATGATTTTTTTAAAAAAATAAAAAAAATCGGATTTTTTTTATTTAAATTGGATTTTTTTTATTTTTATCAAATTTATTTTAATAAAAAACTTTTGGCGTAAAAATCTATCGTAAGATAGTTTTCTATTTAAGATACATAAATAATTTAGTTTATTAAGCATGAAATGGAGCTTAGTTATGTAGCATGAGGCTGTATATTCTGCAACACTGGGACTATCAGTGAGTCAACAGTGGGTCAAAGGAGTAGCAGAGATCACAGTTGCTCTTTAAAAATTATGATTTAAATCGAGTTGATTTAAATCAAGCCTTTTTACTAGTGATTTAAATCATGATTTAAATCAAATCCACCCTGATAGGCACACACACATATAGACGCACACACACACATATATACACATATAAATATATATACATATATGCGCACACGCATGCGTGCACACACACACACATACTACCTGCACAGCCATAAAATCCAAACAAAGCATTAAGCTAAAATTTGATACCTTTTATAAAAGATATGAGGCATTAAAACACCATGTATAATAAATATAATGCAATAAAGAATAGCCCAGTAACAGAAAATAACAGCAGCCCTAAAAAGTTAGAAATATCAGAGCACCCCACTAATTTATTCCTGTATTAAGGAAGCCTGGAAGAAAAATGTCTTTTTCTGCAAAAGCAATAAGAACCACTTTGGGTGTTGCTTGGCAGAGGGGGTTGCCCAGAGCTTTGAAGATTATTAGGCCTACAGTATTTTGATATGGTGAAAGGATAAAGCAATAAAGCTTCTATTATATTTGCTTAGGATAGAGGATGGATTTTCTTCAGATACAGTAATCCCAAGCCCCAAAGGGTTTTATACTTTGACAGTACACATTAAATTGTGTCTGAAAACAAGTGAAGAGGGAATGAAGGTAGACTGGTGTGATGTACTTGTTTCATCGAACTCCAGTCTCTGTTTTTACCTCAGAATTGTGCTAACTGACATTACAAGTCATCTTCAGTGGGCAGAACCAGATATAAACTACCAAGACATAATTTATCATAGCAAGTTTATTCTTATCCAGGTAGGGCTGTCACTGGTGTCTCCATAGAAACATCATAATCAGGTTACCCTGAACGGAGCCAACACTCAGAGAACAGAGAAATGAAGCAAGTTTTGCTGCTCTTATCGCCACAATAATAAAGACTCTTGTCTGTTTTTAGTCAGCCTCACTCCTTGTTTTCCTCCAGCAGCATTCTAGGCATCATCCTCTGGAGGCCCTCCAAAAACCAGGGAGCACAGCAGAGTCTTCACATAAAGACAGTCAGCATAAATGCAATCCAGACTAAAGTTGCCAGCACAGCTTTATTCTAGGTGGAGAACAAGGACTCAATCAAACTGTGTACCACAGCCTCAGGTATAATCCCAAACTGAAACCCACCAGGGTCCATCAAGCTGATTCTACTGTACAGGTCCAGCTTCCTTGGGAAGTTCACTTGCTACCGTTTTTTCAGCTTCTTGAGCTGATCTATGTACATGCAATCCCTTAGAGAATATCAGACAAAATTGTCCATTTATTGCTGGTTTTGCACAGTAATCTTTTTTCCCCCTCCAGATGCCTGCAGTTCTGTTCAGGAACCTGTGCCCCAGATCAGCACCCCCTCAACACAACCGGGTGAGTTCCTTCTCCATCAGTAAATAGGAATAAGCCTGCCTGTCCGTTTATTTGACCCATCCTCTCACTTGGAACACATGTGTAGCTTAGAACAAATTTAAGTGAATTTTCAGTTTCAAAACAAGGAATTGCAGGGAGATGATATTAAAACCTTGGAAAAGACAACGTATTAGTCTATACATGTGGTGAAGACTTTCACCTCCCACTTTGTAGGTTGAGAGTTTAATCCTAGGTAGCAGCAGCTGTTTCTCTCCTAGAGCCAAAGAAAAAATATCTGATGCAAACTCCACGTGGTGCCAGGAAGGGAATCTGGCCAGTAAACGCTTGGTTGCATCCACTCATCCCAACTCTATCCTGAATTAAGGGATTACAGGATCATACAAAGGATTGTGTTGCTCATATTATTTTATAAAGACTAGTTTCACCTGTTAGCTTTCACTTCATATCTTGGATTTAATTTTTTTGAAGTTGTTTGTATAGAATGATACACGCCTGGCTTGACAACATTGAATCTACTGCAACCAAGATATTTGTTGTCCCCGAAAACAGTATTCATAGGACCCCATAATTCAATAAAAATATTTTTATTTGAAAAATTAAATGGTGGTAAACTGGTAATTTATGCAAATTTTTGCATAATTTCCCTTAGAGAAGACAGTCAGCTCCTAATGTAGCATACATTCGTTTTTTAACAAACATTTTCCTGATTGTCAAGCTGTGCCTTGAATTGTGAAAAAAGGAAATTTTTTCACAACATTATGGAGAGGAAGAGCATGATTTCACAGCATTCTTAAAATTATCTCCTATAAGCGGATGTGGATTTTACTCCAGGATAAAGTGACAGAGAGAACCTTGATTTCAGTCATGAATATATACCCTTAAAGCAGGGGTAAGCAGCTGACCACTTTATGACCTGTAGACTTCAACTCCCAGAGCCACCATGGCTCAGGAATTCTAGGAGTTGAAGTCCACAGGTCATAAAGTTGCCATTGTTTCCCGTCCCTGCCTTAAAGAATCTTCTATCACACAACTTCGTATCCAAAGCTTCCAGGGAAGAGAGGGCTGAGGCCAAACGAATGTAAGTCTTGAGTATATTACTATTTCTTTTTCCTTTTATTTTTTTACAGAAGTTCAGGCCCCAGGAATGCATTTTATTGAACGCCATCGGTGGGCCCTGATTCAGAGAACAACCACAGTGGAAGAAATTCTGGACCAGCTTTACGAAGTTATCCTGACCCATGAGCAATATGAAAGTATCATGGTACAGAAGACATCTCAGGATAAAATGAGGGAGCTCTATAGCCTGGTGCCTGGCTGGGATCAGCGTTGCAAGGATTTTCTCTACAAAGTTCTGAAGGAGAAAAGGAGACCTCTTATTGAAGATCTTGAAAGGCAGACGCCATAGAAGCGAAATACCACGTCAGGGCATAAAATATCCAGCTACACATATATCATAGGAATCCCACAGACAGATACATACAGGTATAGACCACACCCACTTAAAGTCCCAATTGAGCCCAAAATTGATGTTGCTAAGTGAGAAATGGGTTAAGTGAGTTTTGCCCCCATTTTACGGCTTTTCTTGCCACATTTCTTAAGTAAATCACTGCAGTTATTACATTAGTAACCCAGTTGTTAAGTGAATCTGGCTTTCCCCGTTGATTTTACTTGTAAGAAGGTCGCAAAAGTGGATCAGATGACATCAGGACAATGCAGCTGTCATAAATGTGAATCCGTTGTCAAGCATCCAAATGTAAATCACATGACCCTGAGGATGCTGCAATAGTCATAAATGTGAAAAACTATCATAAGTCACTTTTTTCAGTGCCGCTGTAACTTTGAACAGTCACTAAATGGACTGTTATAAGTCAAGGACTACCTGTAGTATCTTTGAACTGAGTAGCTCTATTTACAATTGTCCTGGTTACTGAATTGTTCTATTTTCACGAGTTGACGTAGTATAGGTACCCTGTTTCCCCGAAAATAAGACCCAACCGGAAAATAAGCCCTAGCATGATTCTTCAAGATGTTTGTAATATAAGCCCTACCCCCCAAAATAAGCCCCAGTTAAGATTGTCAGCCAGATGAGTGCATTTAGTACCGTATTTCCCCCCCAAATAAGACCTAACCAGAAAATTAGTCCTAATGCGTCTTGGAGCAAAAATTAATATAAGACCCGGTCTTATTTTCGGGGAAACACGGTAGTCCTTGACTTACAACTACAACTGAGCCCAAAATTTCTTGTTAAGCAAGGCAGTTATTAAGCAGGTTTTGCCCCCATTTTATGACATTTTTGCCACAATTAAGTAAATCACTGCAGTTGTTAAATGAGATTTCCCCATTTCTTTCTGGGAAGCATTTACACTATGTAATAACAGAGTTGTAAGGGACCTTGGAGGTCTTCCAGTCCAACCCCATGCTTAAGCAGGAGATCCTATACCCGTGATGGCGAACCTATGGCACGCGTGCCACAGGTGGCACACAGAGCCATATTACTGGGCACGCCAGCTCAGCTCTGGGGTGCATGCGCGTGCCGGACAGCTGATTTTCGGGCTTTCTGGGCCCACCAGAAGTAGGGAAACAGGCTGTTTTCTGCCTCTGGAGGGCCTGGTAGGGGGTGGGGAAGGCCCGTTTTTCTTTCTTACCTGTCTCCAGATCCTTTCTATGGATCTGGGAAGGGCGAAAACAGCCTTTCCCACTCCCTCGGAGGCCCTACGGAGGCTGAAAGGGCCCATTTCCCAACTCCCAGTGGGACAGGAAGTGACATTTTTTCCTGTCCCCAGCCTCTAGAGACTCCTAGAGAGGCTCCTACAGACTCCTAGAGAGGTTCTGGAGGCTGGGGACAGCAAAAATCACTTCCTGTCCCACTGGGAGTTGGGAAATGGGCCCTTTCAGCCTCCGTAGGGCCTCCGAGGGAGTGGGAAAGGCTGTTTTCGCCCTTCCCAGATCCATAGAAAGGATCTGGAGACAGGTAAGAAAGAAAAAAAAATGGGCCTACCAGGCCATCATGTGCCAGGAGCGGGGATGGGTGGGGTTGCATGCGCATGCGCGTGGGCACGTGCATGCGCAACCCTCCCCCCCCCCCTCCTGGCACGCGATGGCAAAAAGATTAGCCATTACTGTCCTATACCATTTCAGGCAAATGGCTGTCCAATCTCTTCTTAAAAATCTCTTCGGCCGAAGAGGTTGTAGAAAAAATGTTTTTAAAAGCCTCTGACAATTCCATCAGAGCCGCGCGATCAGAGGCTTTTTTTTTTATATATATATTATTATTTTTTTACTTTTAAAAGCATTTTTTCGGCTGAAGAGGTTGTAGAAAAAATGCTTTTAAAAATAATTTAAAAGGCCTCTGATGACTGCGCAGCTCAGCTGGGCATGGTGGGGGGGCAGGGATTTTTGCTACCGGTTCTCTGAACCACCCACCTCCATCGCTACCGGATCAGGTGATCCGGTCCGAACTGGAAGCATTTCACCCCTGTGAGGCGCCCACAACTTCTGAAGGCAAGTTGTTCCACTGGTTCATTGTTCTCACTGTCAGGAAATTTCTGCTTAATTCTAGATTGGTTCTCTCCTTGATTAATTTCCATCTGTTGTTTCTTGTCTTGCCTTCTAGTGGTTTGGAAAATACCGGTAGATTGATCGCTTCTTCACATTCACAGTCCTCTTGCATACACATAATTTTTGATTGCATTCCAAATGAAACTGCTTTTTATCCAAATAGATTTAAATATTTATGCAAAAACAACAACAACAACAAGTGTTGACTAGATATTATGGACTGTAATTCTCTCCCCCCCCCAAATCCCTGGTCACTTGTCATGCTTGCCAGTGTAATGGGAACCCACACATGGGGCCCACCAAACTACCTATCTCTTCTTTCAAATAATTAGTTCTAGGTTCCATTGGGAGACCAGAGGTAGGTAGAGCAGTATTTCTCAATCTTGGCAAATTTGTGTGGACTTCAATTCCAAGAGTTCCCGCCCACTAGGCAACTGAACTCCACACATTATGGCTGAGATTGAGAAACACTGCTGTAGAGAGCAAACAAGATGATTTTGATAGAGATACGCAGAATTTATTGCCTAGTCCGACGTACATAAAGTGTTTTTAAGTCAAGGACGTCCAGATAACATTTCAGAAGTATCTCAGACAAATGCCTTCTTAATTCACTAAACTCTAAGAAGGAGATGCCTATAGAGATTCTCAATCATCCAGGTCATGGTTGTCCCAAAGGTGCTTTTTCAACAAACAAAAAACAAAACAATTGGTCTTTCTTGTTGTTGTTTTCCTTTGAAAATGTTTCACTTCTCATTCAAGGCCCTTGAACTTGAAGAAGCTTTTGGATAAGAAGTGAAACCTTTTCAAAGGAGGGGGTGGGGAACAAGACAGGCCATTGGCCTTTTGGAAAAAGCATCTTTGAGTTGAAGGAGGAGGTACAGTATAGCATAATCAGACTTGCAAGATTTTGTTGTTATAGTCAATCTCAAAGTAGTTTTAGCCTTCGTGGGGATTGATTTGGTATGGTCTACCTGATGGGGCTGACAAAAGCTCATGAAATAGTTAAACATTCCTTTTACTGGTAGCCCCAAAGGTAGTCCATTATTTTTTTTTTGAAAAAAGTTTTTCATTTTTATTTCTTATACACAGAATATAAATGTACATTCTCTTATATATAATTGGTCATACACAAGGGTGAAATCTAAAATTTGTAACTACCGGTTCTGTGGGCGTGGCTTGGTGGTGGTGGGGGTAATATGGGTGGGTGTGGCCAACTTTTTTTTTTTTTTTTTTACTTTTAAAAGCATTTTTTCTACAACCTTAAGAGTTGCAAAAAAATGCTTTTAGAAGCCTCTGACTGATCAGCAACTCAGCTGGGATCGTTAGAGGCTTTTAAAGGCATTTTTTTTCTCTACAACGTCTTTGACCGAAGAGGTTGCAGAAAAATGCTTTTAGAAGCCTCTGACGATCAGGCAACTGAACCGCAGAGGTTGTAGAAAAAATGCTTTTAAAAGCCTCTGACGATCAAGCAACTCAGCTGGGATCGTTAGAGGCTTTTAAAGGCATTTTTTTTCTCTACAATGTCTTTGACCGAAGAGGTTGCAGAAAAGATGCTTTTAGAAGCCTCTGACGATCAGGCAACTGAACCGCAGAGGTTGTAGAAAAAATGCTTTTAAAAGCCTCTGACCATCCCAGCTGAGCTGCGCAATCATCAGAGGCTTTTTTTTTTTTTTTTTTTACTTTTAAAAGTATTTTTTCGGCCGAAGAGGTTGTAGAAAAAATGCTTTTAAAAGTTAAAAAAAACAGCCTCTGATGATTGCGTGGCTCAGCTGGGCATTGGGGGGGGGGGCACAGGGATTTTTGTTACTGGTTCTCCGAACCACCCGCCACTATCACTACCGGATCGGGTGATCCGGTCCGAACTGGGAGCATTTCACCCCTAGTCATACATATACATATTTTTCTTAAAGAAAGTATAAAAATAAGGCATTTTAATTACATTCGGGGTTGCTCTTCTACCCTTTCTTTTCCCTCGTTTCATAACAAACCTCCTCCTTTTTCTTTCCCTTCCCTCCCTCCTCTCCTCTCCTACTTTCTCTCCTTCCTCTTCCTAAATCCCCTTCCTTTCCCCCACTCCTCCCCTCTTTTCTCCCTTTCTCATCCTCTCTCCTATTCCTGTCCCCTGCCTTTTCTTCCTCTCCTTTCCCCTTTCTTCCATTCCTCTCTCTCCCTCTCCTCTTCTTATCCTCTACTCCTCTCTCTCCTTTCTTTCTCTTTTGTTGTGGAATATTTTCCTTGTTTGGTATCCGAGCAATTCCCGTATTCTAATAATATATACTTTCTTTTCACTTTTTTTTCAATTTTACTCAATCTATCGCTGTAGTCTTCATAATTGTACATTTATCCTTATAGTCTTCTTTCTTTTCCCCCCTCCCATCCCCCTTTTCCATTTACTCTGATGTCATCTGGGTTTCTATTTCTTTTTTCTCCTCTCCCTCATTTAACTTTCTATTATCTAAATCATTTATCATCTTTTATTCATATTTCTTTTCTAATCATACATAAAATCTTCCCCATGTCTTGAAATACACCAATTCCTCTTTATCTTTTATTCTTAAAATTAATCTATTCATTTCCGCACAGTCTAAAATCTTTTTTATTACTTCACCTTCTGACAGGATTTTTTCTGTCTTCCAATCTTGCGCAAATACAATTCTTACTACTGTTATTATATGTATAATTAAATACACATCTTTACTATATCTTTCTGGGAGAATACCCAATAAAAAAACCTCTGGTTTTAATTCTATAGATTTGTGTAACATTTCCTCCAACCACGTCTATATTCTAGACCTATAATTTTTTGCTCCTTCACACATTTTGGAAAAAGCATTTTTGAGTCGAAGGAGGAGGAAGAGGTACAGTATAGCATAATCAGACTTGCAAGATTTTGTTATTATAGTCAATCTCAAAGTAGTTTTAGCCTTCGTGGGGATTGATTTGGTGTGGCCACCTGGTGGGGCTGATAAAAGCTCATGAAATAGTTATCTAAACATTCCTTTTACTGGTATCCCCAAAGGTAGTCCGTTATTTTTTATTTAGAAAATTTATGTAACAATAGCAATAGAGCTTAGACTTATGTCAGCACTCCAGTGCTGGCATAAAGAGAAGAAGAAGGCGCTTGACTTTTCACTACTTATTTTCTCTGTAGATAATATCACCTAGGAGATGGGATGGGAGGGGGGACATTCCTGTGAGTTGAAGTAGTAGAGATGGGGGAGAATGACTTGGAAGATGGCCAATGAAATGCTGAGAATTGGGGAATGGAAAGGGAAGGGTTTGGGGTCGGAGGTTCAGTGTCGGCTACGATGGAGTCGGGGACAGATTGTACTCAATAAATGAAAGATTTCATCAAAGACTTTTTGTTTGGAAATGCAATTTATTTGAGACGACATCGTAACCTGACAACTTATATATACCTCTTCACGGTGCTTTACATATAGCCACCTACTCACTCACAGCGACTCTAAACAGTTTACAAACAATAGAAACAGTAATCCGTGTTATTCCTGATATGGTATGAGTTTGAGTTATCATATGTAACTATGATTTATGATCTATGACTTCTTGTCTGATTGAGAGCTTATGCACCGGAGACAAATTCTTCATGTGTCCAATCATACTTGGCCAATAAAGAATTCCTCTCTTTTTTCTTCTCCTCTCCTCTCGTCTCGTCTCGTCTCGTCTCCCCTTCCCTTCCCTTCCCTTCCCTTCTTTTCCCTTCCCTTCCTTCCTCTCTCCTCACCTCCCCTCTTCTCCTCTCCTCTCCT